ACACTTACACAGAGTATGAAAATGTCTCTGGATTTCAATCTTCCAAGTCCACCCAGGAAGAAAGCTGACACATGGATTGCAGAAAAAACTTTGTAGCAAACTTAATACAAACAGCAGCAAGAAGCCCTCAGAGAAAAAAAGTGCCCAGTCCTTTCCCCCTAAGTCTCACTTTTGGGGGGGCTCTGTCTTGTTCCTTTTTGAACCAAATTTCTTCACCTCCAGATACATGAACTCAGCACAGAAACCCCATTTTTCCCCAAGAAGAATCTTTCCATTCACGTTCGGATTTCCCGCCTTCCCTCCCTAACACTGGAAGTTAAGACAAAAATCAAGGGATGGAGTTTGAACTTTTGTGCTCCTCAGCCCAGAGCAGATCCAGTGCTAACTACTTACATGTCAAGGGGATTTGGGGTCTGTGGGGATCTCCTGATGTTTGGAGAGAAGGACCTTGGAAGATTGGTGTAGCCGCAGATTCACCCCTTCGTTTTACTTGGCCATTGAAGAGAGAGATACAATGCTGCGCTAGCAGGCATTCATGCGCCTTGCCTCTCCCATGACTCTGGGCAAGAAATCCCCAGTTCTACAAAAGCAGTGGCATCCTATCTGGAGACCCAGGGCTGAGCAAGGGCTGGCTTGGGAGGGTTGAAGATGGGGGTGGGGGAGAGGTCAGAGGCGCTGCAGAATATAAAGGCAATGGGAAAGAAAATGCTGTGTCCTCCCCGTGAACCTGGGCTGTGTCCTCCCCCAAGCCTTTCCCCACTGCTCCACTCAACTTCAATAAAAGACTGGCCCTCAGCCTCCCAGTGAGAATATAGCAGCATTGGGCAGGCAAAGTATGGGGACCAAGACTGCTAGAACTTGGGGCTCCAGCCTGGGTTCACATCCCCCACCCACCTATGCCTGGGCAGCCTGAACCCCGATCTGGGTAATGAGGTCCAAAGCAAAGGAGAACTTTTGGGAAAGATGAGAAAATGGATCTTACTGGAGGGAAGACCAGATATAGAAATCTTCAAAAATTCAACTGTAAAAATTTTTGTTTCATTTGTCAAGATTTATGGATTTCTAATGTTTCCCCTCTTTGGACCAAAAGAGACAGAGGGTAACTTTGTGTGTGTGACAAGAGGTGGGGGGAAAGCCACGCTTGTACAGAAGGGGAAATAAAGCTGCTTTTCCCGAGTTGAAGAGTGTTCCTTTAGTAAGTTCTGGGAGAAACTTAAGAAATAAAATGTAATGATTTCCCCCTACTTGTTCTCATTTCTTCAAATGGCAAATTTAGGAAAGTACTGTTGATCTGAAGTTATCACCCCACCTCCTTTTCATTTCAGCTTCATTACAGACTTAAAAAGACATCCTGACCTCAGAACAACCTTTTTTTCCAAAGCATTCTTACATGTCCCCCCCCATGCCCCAATACCACTGCTTTCCTATCCAAAGGCAATTGCCTTAAGATGATAGGGGCTACAGTCAGATCAGGCCTCTAGTTCACTTGATTACATAAAATAACTCCAGATAATTGTTGGCCCTGCTTCCTCACACTGTAGGCAGCATGTTTTGCTGTCTCCAGGGTACCATGGAGGGAGGAGAAAGTAGACCTAAAGGACTAAGCAATTCGCCCCTACACACAGATACGCTTGTACACACACAGTCTATTCCAACTGCCTGAGCCAGCAAGTGGTTCAAGAGGAAATAAATTTAGTGCACCCAAAACAGATTTTCACACTTAGTCCTACTGTTGCCTTTTGATCCAGAATTTGGGATAGAGGAAAGGGGTATCCCTATATACCCCAAATTGACTCTCAGTCTCTCTTCTACTTCTGATTGCCCTCTATCCTGAAATTTTGGATACATTGCCTAAGAAGTTTGCCAATTGCCTTGCCTCCACTTTCTCCCAACAAACAATTAAAAACCTGACTAGGCCTGATTTAGGGCCTGGACTCTGGGACAGAATTTATCTGGGAGCTTGAATTAGTTTTTCAGGTAATCTAAGCTGCTTCCTCCCTCTCCCTTAGCCCCAAAGAAACCATTTTATTTTATTTTACATTCAGAGAGCCTTATCAGGCTACCAGGCTAAATCCAAACCCTGCCAGAACCTGGGAGGTTGTAGGAAGAGGGGGTGGTACTTGCCTCTCTTTGAGTCTCTTAACACCTGGCAGGTCCACGATAAAAGTTAGGGGAAAACATAAAAGTCCTTCATTATCTCCAGCCATCAGCCTTTGAGGTGTACCCAGGCAAGGGGGCCTTCCAGGCCTTTGGCCTCCACTTCACCCTTTTCCCCAAGTCTAAACAAACAGAGAAACCATCCTGACAGGTTACTTTGCTGCTTCAGAATCACTAGCTCAAAACCTTTCCTCTTTTAAGGAGACTTGCTAATGTGGAGGGGACATCTTTCTCAATCTCCACTCCCAAAAGATTCCTAAAGGATGAAAAGTTTTCTCTTTCCCACTCCCCTTAAGTTCCCTTCTAGTCTGTAGATTAGGCAGGCCTACTTGACGGAAGACAGAATGGAGAAGAGGCAGAGGAATAGACAAAATGAAGGGATTGTGCCTAACTATAGAAAAGTGGACCTCCCCTCCCGCCCCCCCCCACCGCAGCTCCACTGTAAGCACACCCAAGTTTGGCTTCTCTGAAGATTCAAAAAGAAGGGACAGGAGAAATCAGTCACAATCTCCCATATCCCTTACCCCCAACCCCAAACTGATTCTTCTAAGGACATTGGAAACTGGAGTTGAGAGTTAAGGTTTGTGTGTTTGCTTAGAGTAAACTTAAGCAACTATAGAAAAGGTGGGATGTTACCAGGCCAGTAGGAGGGGGATAAAAAGAAACCAACAGACATTGACGTAAAACTAATTCACATCCACTGGTTTATTATTGATCATGGGGCATTTCACATCAACACTAAAATTCTTTATTGCAAGTTTTACAATAATCAAGTAAATTCAGTCCAAAAACACAATAACCACGATGGGGGTGGGGGGAGATTCTACCTATAGACTGCCTCTTTGAACTGAAAGTTCATTTTGATTTTCTTTTGGCTCCTCAAACTGAACAGCTCTGAGAGGCTCTCCAGATGCATTTAGCTTTGTCTGCTGTCCTCCCCCCTCCTCCCACCCCCCCACAATAATACAAAAGAACTTCATAGCTTTGTTCTCCTTAAAATGACTTCCCCCTCACTAACCTCCCCTGGTGCATTTTCAATGCAAAAGGCCTAAGGAAAGAGGGGGGAAGGAGGAGGAGAAGAAGGATGAGAATTGGCTTAAAAATCTCCCTTTCCTTTTTTTCTTTTTCTCATTTCCCCTGAAATTCACCCAAACCAGACCATCGCACCTTGCAATATATATTTTTGCAGCTTTTTTTCTTAAAAAATAAATAACCCCCCAAATGACCTTTAAAAAAAAAACCCAGCAGGTACCATGCTAAGACAACATCACATGCTTAAAAGGGTCCTAAACAGTGGAAGGGAGAGAAGGGCAGGGGGCTTGTTTGTTTATCTGTTTTGTCTGTTTGAATTGACAAGGGAGGAGGTGGGAGAAAGAAAAGAACCAAAATATATATATATATTAAATTCTATAAATAAGAGTCAATTTGTGTGTGAGGGGAGGATGGGGGCATGGGGTGGGGGCAGGGGTGTGAGTTATGTTTTATAACCTGGTAATGTCCTCTGCCCGTTGCTGCTCCGGCGGCGTGGCGCTCTGGGAGTGGTCTTCAGAAGTGCCCGGGGTGGCTGCGGAGAGGGTGCTGGGCGCAGCGCCGGCCGGGGGCGCTGACCTGACTTTGGTGTTGGGGAGTCGGTGGTCCTTCTTCCATTTCATGCGACGGTTTTGGAACCAGATTTTGATCTGCCTCTCAGAGAGGCACAGCGAGTGGGCGATCTCGATCCTTCTCCTTCGGGTCAGGTAGCGGTTGTAATGAAACTCTTTCTCTAATTCCAGGACTTGCTGCCGGGTGTAGGCTGTCCTCGAGCGCTTGGGCTCCCCTCCGTTATAATTGGGGTTCACTGAGGGGGCGGGGGAGGGGGAAAAGCAAATAGTGGGGTTCAGAGGCAAGTGAGGCTCGCCGCCCCCCACCCTCACCCCATCCTCAGCTTTGAGGAACAGGAGGAGGGAGTGGTGGAAATAAAGTCATCAAGCTAAATGGGTTATAAAGAAGTTGAAGGAAGCTAGAGACTTTGTAGTGTAATAAGAGGGGAATCCTCATTGTAACGACACTGAATTATTTATGCGCCCTTAGAAAGCGAGCATAGTTTTCACACATACATAACAGATCGTAGCACATGGCTCGGACTGCCCAGAGTAGCTAAGCCATAAAATTTATGGGGGATGTAATTACCCATTCTCGCTCGTAAATCCAGTTCAATTGTGCTAACCCAGAGTCGCTCCTGGAGAGAGAGGGGGAAGGAGAGAAAGGAGGACGGGGGCCGGAGGGGGCCAGGGAGGGTGGGGAGCGCCGGGAAAGAGGGAAGGGAGGGGGGAGCAAAAAGCAAAGTTGCCTACCCGTGCTAACGTGAATTTTTTTCATCCATGGGTAGACTATGGGTTGCTTGCTGGCGGCGCTGGAGGGATGGTCGGGGGCTGGCTGGCTGCAGGCTGGCGGGGCTGGGGACGGGGAGGCGGAGGCGCCTGAGAGAGGCGCCGGCTCGCAGAGCGGCTGCGATTTCTCGGGGTGATGGTGGCCCGCCTGGGCCGGCCCGTGGCCTCGCGAATTGCCCGGCCCCTGGAGACTGGTGCAGCTATACTGGCGCTCAGGGTAGCTAGGGCGCGGAGGCGGTGGTGGGTACAGCTCCTGGTGGTGATGCTGGAATCCCGATTCCCTGGTCCGGCCGTAATATTCCGGACTGTGTTCAGGGATGTAGCTATTTTGCGAATATTCTTCGCATGGAGGAAATTTCGGATCGATGTAGTTAGAGTCCATCAAATACGAGCTCATGATCATTAATTTCTGGAGTGGAAAATAATTTTTCTCGCTTTGTCGTTTTTCTGCTCCATAAAGCCCTCCTACTAGCTAGCGACCCTGTAAAGTTACTTTCACCATGTGACTCCGCCGGCCAATCACACGGAGCAACCCAGTCCCCGGATAAGGAACCGAATCGCTTTATTCAAAATGTATCCAATTTTTTGTGTGTGTGGTGGTGCTGCTGCTTGTGGGGGGGTGATGGGGTGATAGCTGGTAGGGGCTGGGGTGCCCCCCTAGCGCACGCCCCGCCAGACATACAACTGACCCCTGCAAAAGGGGTTGGGAAGCTTCCAGCTCCTCTCCAAAGCCTGGGCATTTGGGGGCTGCCGGAAGGCTGTGTTTCAGCCCCCGCCCAGGGTCTTCTCTCCGGCCTCCAGTTGGCCCAGTGGGCCTCTGCTCCAGTGCTTTTCCAGCGGTCTCCATTCATGGCGATCGTGTTTCAATCTGTGTAGGTCACCAGGCAGCGCCCCTCTTTCGCAGGAAGAGGAAGTTGAATGAGGACTGGAGTGGAGGTTGGATGGGGAGGGGCCCAGGCTAAGCCGAGGGGGCTGGAGAGCCTGGGGTGCCACGGATCCAAGGATCCCAAAGTCCAGCCACCCTCCCCCCTACACACTCACCCAACCCTCTGGCCACGGGGACGGCGAGGCAGGGTCCCCAGCTGGACCAGGCAGGTAGAGGCAGCCAGGATGCAAATGATTCTGACGTCATTTCTGGAGGTCTTGGGGTTGAGCCCCCCGCTGAAGAGAGACAGGAAGTGGTTGGCAAAAGCAGAGTTCAGAAGCCTTGCCCTCCCCTACTACCCACTGACCCTCCCTGTCCCAGACCTAGAGCAAAAGATCTCTTCTACTGCTGGCTCCTGTTTCCACTCTCCACGCTGCTGGGCCTTCTGTTTTCTGACAACTACCTCCAGACTGGCCCCTAAGGAGCTCTGGCAAAGAGGAGAGCTTTTTGAGGAAGAGGTCAGTGTCTCATGATGGTGCCCAGTCAGGGTCCTGGGAAGTCTTCCTTCCCCATCCCCACAGAGAGTAGACCTAGCTAAAAGGGAGGCCTATCTGTGTAGAGCCTGCTTGCTTCCGTCCAGGGACTGTATCCATGTAACACGTGTGTTTACATGTAAACACATATTTCCCAAGGGCCAGCTCTAGGCTGCCTTCCAAAAAGGAGGGATGGGGTCACCCAGCTGGGGAGGTAGGGCAGGTCTTGGGGGTTCTCCAGCCCATTCCCAGCCTTACTCTCCCTCTGCCACCCACCCACAGGAATACCATGATGTGGGGGGTGGCAGGACCATAGAGGAGGGAGGGGCAGGGAAAGGCTGCTTTCCCAGACCCCCTCCCTCAGCTAGGGTGGCCACATCATACCACCAATTCCAATTAACTGATCATCCATAACTCAGAGTGGGGGGGGGGGGCGGTTGCAGAAGGGAAAGCCCAGGGAGGGAGCCGGGTCCCCTTGTTGTACTTGATAACAATTATAGTTTAAAATCATAGCTTGCCGGGGCTCGGCTATATTTTACTTGATAACAATAAAAGTGACACATAAAGTTAACTGTTTATGTTTTATTTATTAGACTAAATCTGCCAGCGGTGGTAGGAGCGCTTGCCTCGTCGCTACAGCTTTTATAGGGCTGTAAAACGTCATAAATCAGTCTCGCGGAATCGCCCGCACTCTTTGTGTCGGCGGCGGCGCAGGGCTGGCGGCCGCTGGCTGCCTGCTCCCTCCTTTCCACGAAAAGTCGTAATGTGATTTTTTCCCTCTGATTTTATTATTATGATCGCCGCCGTGATTAGTCAATCTACCTTTAATTCGCCGCCCTACGCTGCCTCCTCCCAGCCCAGCCTGGTTGACACTTGAATAAGTACCTTTTAAAACGGCATAACAACTATTTGAGGGTTTAATTAGAACATCTGCAATTAAGGGAATGAGGAGGCGAAAGGGAAAAAAAAAATAAAGCCCTTGTGAGAGGGAGAATGAAGGTAGGAGATTCCCAACCTTCCCTCACCAACTTTGGGATGTGTGAGAGGGTCCCCACTTATAAATTAGGGCTCACCTTGAGGGCTGGAATGAGAGGGAAGATGGGCCACAGGTAATGCTCAAAGGGGCCAGTTCTAGCCTGGGACCCTAGCCGCCTGTCCTGCTCCAATGATTAGACTCCCACCCCAGCCCAGGTCCACCCCAACCAGTTCTTGGTCCCGTGGGGGCTGGTGCTTGGGGAGGTCCCTGCATACCATTACTCCCCAGGAGGACAGGGTCCTGCCCCCACTGTCACCAGCTAAGTAAGGGAACAGGAATTCCCTGGAGGTATTGCCTTCTCTTACAGGAGATTCCCAAACTTCTGAAGTTGATGAAGAACTCCTGCCCACATTGTGCAGGACCCTGTGAGTGTGTTTGGTTGGAAGTGGAACTTGAAGTTGTGAGTGAGGGAGAAGCAGTTACTTGGTTGTTGGTGGTTGGGAACTGTGTGAGGGTTTTCTGTTTTGTAATTGTTGTGGGGTGGGCACTAATTACTGATTGCTGGAAGAGGGCAAAGGGAAACTAGTTTTGAATCTGGAACTACAAAAGTTTGAACAGTATTCTCAGATTGCCCCCATGGGAAGGTTCAAAGCTCCAGAGAGCTCTAGTAGGGTGGGGGAAGGGTTGGAGAAGGGAGAGAAATACTTCCATCCCCACCCCCAATCTCCCTTCTAGGCCTGCACCTGGTTCCCAGATCATCCCAGCTGAGAATATTCTCTTTCCCACCTGAATAAGTGAGCTCTCTGCCTGGTTCCCCTCTTTCTAGACTTCACATCCACCTTCTACCAGTCCTGCTCTCCATTTTAATCCTCTTTTCTTCAACCCTCACCCTCCTGAACTTATCCTGCTACACTGCTCCTCCCAGGTTTCTGAGCTCTAGTAAGAGGGTTGAGGAGACCTCTTGGGCCAATAAGAGTAAGTAGACACAGAGGGTTCAAATGCTTCCCATTGAATGTCAAGTCTATCTTTGGTTATTAAGGTTAACAATATATATATATGCATATACACTATAAATACTTATTAAAATATTAAATGTCCTTTATGCAGCCATAAATACATTGAGTTCTCAATCCAGGTTTGCACAGCCAATGCAACCCGAATATCCAGAAAGTAAAAGCCAGGAGATAGCTCCAAATGAGCCCACACTTATCTACATCATTACAAAACCAACCCACTAATCCCCAACTCTCTTTAGGCTCCTGCAGCTTAATAGTAAGGAAGTCACCTATCATATAAATAAAATACCTCACCAAACATACATATACAAATATTTTTACCTGGAATTATTATTATAAGTATGGAAATAAAATCCTTTTGGAGGGCTTCTGCACTTAGCAATAGCTAAAATGGGATGGGAAAGGGGTACTAATGCAGCTCTGCCTGTGATGAACCTTGTATCTGGTCCTGCCTTCTTTTGTGCTTCCCCTCCTGCCTCTTGCCTTGCCAGCACAAGGACCTCCACCTCCATCTCTGCTCTGCCCTTCACCTCGCTTTGCCCCAATTTTATGTTTTATTTTTTTATGTTTTTCTGACTACCTTTTGCCAGAATCCAAATGCTCTCTGCACGCCGCCCCTAACCCCATCTCCTTTTTAAATCTCGATCTGGTTTCTCTTTAGGAAACATGTTTCAGTACAAAGCGCTTCCCTTCTGACACCACTGAAGAAAAATATGTGTCCATTGTGTGTGAGGCCTTATTGTGCCTGGATTACCATACTGACCGTTGGATAACCCATATTCCTCCCCTCCCCAGTAACAAGCTGCTGGCTGAGAGACCTCAGCGGCTCCACAGATTCTGTGCTGCATTAAAATCTCACCTCTCACGTTCCCTGGATCTTCCAAGGGAGAAAAATAAATGAGAGAACCAATGCAGAATTTGGAGAGCAAAGAGAAGGAAATCGAGGGTCATTCCTTTCCCACTCTCAAAAGTGCAGTTTATTTTTACATGTATGTGTTTGGTTTTACGTTGTGATTGTTGATGTTTTAGGGATTAAAAATTGCATCGTGTCTTTTTCCTTTTCCTCAAATAAATAGACTTTTAGATGATATGCAATCAGGCAATTAATTAATTTCATTTAGATCTTTATAACCCTTTCCCCGCCAAAATTTGAAAACCCCAAATTGGAACAAGACTCTCATACCATTTTTCTTTTGTGTGTGTGTGTGTGTGTGTGTGTGTGTGTGTGTGTGTGTGTGTACGCGCAAGTACGTGGATATATGTGTGTTTTTTGTCCCTTTCTAATGCTGGCAGGCCAGGCTAATATATGCAAAAGAATATGCAAATACTTAATTGATTTTTTCTTAAATCTCTTGTCAGTAAAAGTAATGAATTGGTCTAAAATGATTTTAATAACCCGGACGTGTCACCAGAAAATACTCAACCTTCTTTTTTTTTCCTCCTGGAATCGTTTATAGTCTCAAAAAAAAAAAAAAGCAATCATGGAATGTTAATTTGCCCCCCTTTAAAATATTAAAGATGAATTTCTCTTGTTTGTTCTGAGACCATAGGCAAGGTCCTCCCGTGGATTTCCCCCGCCTTGCCATGCCTTCCTTGAAATTCAATTTTCCTCAAATCTCGTTTAAAGTGGCTTTTTAAAAAGTGGCCGCATTTTAATATTGGTTAGACAGAGTGACCTGCATTTCACCTCGGGTGTTTGACTTGTTCCAATAGGTCACTGCCATGGGGTTATTGATGGGGAAACTCCATTGAAATTTGTCTCTTCGCAAATGGCCTTTAGATCTTCCAGCGAGTTCAATAACTAGTTATAATGTGGAAGGGGAAAAATGAAGGCCCTGGGCTAACGAATTTGATGTTTCATTTTTATGCTGGAGAAATTGTTAGTTAGTGGTTGGGTTCCCCACCCCCTTCTTTGCTCATCCCAGCTTCATTGACCCCCCCCACACACTCTCATCCAAGTCTGCTGGATTATAATCCCTTTAAAACTTGATTTGGGTTGTCTCTTTCTCTCTTGGGTGCAAACTTTACTTGTTACTCTAATTATTGTTTTTGTTGTTAAAAATTCTGAAGTGTGGATGCAGAAAGCTTGTTCTGCTGGAGGTTTGAAACCTGAACTTCTTTGTTAGGAGAAAGACTTTTAAAGGACCCTAAATGTTGCTTGAAAAGATCTAAAAATTAGTCTGGCCTTAGTTTACCGAGTACTCCCTGGCCCAATGCTCCCAGGATTGTGGAATGGAAAGGAAACTGGAAACACTTTTGGAGTTTGATGAGGATATCTTAAGGTGTCCTAATCTATTCTTGGCTGCTGACCTATCCTACTGGGGCAGGCACCCAGGACCAAAAAGGCAGATGCTGGAAAAAGCTAAGGATAAAGGGAGAATTTCATGGACCAGAGAAGGTAATCCTAGGTTCCCTCCTGGGTTAGAGTCAGAAAATGTATGGGGACCTGGACGGGTAACAGCTTGTCAAACTCTGCTCCTTCACAAGGAGGGAGCTCCCGGAAAGCTCTAAGACGTGCATTTTAGTGAACTAAAGAGCAGAAGAAAATGATGGGGTTGATGGAGATTTTATAAGGTTCTCCCCTTTCCCCCCAGAATTTTAAAGAAATGAGAGAGGAAAGGGCAGAGGAATGGAGGGAAGATCTTTATTCTATTCTTGGAACCATAACCAAGCTGGGAAGCCCTTAGCTCCTCCAGAGAAGCCTCTGTGTAAAGGAGCTGTGCAGATTTCCCTCTCTGACCCAGACACAGCAGATCATCACCATTATTAACCTCAGTAATAACAAGAACATCTTCCCCTCACAAAACAGAGCTCTCTGTGTGCTTTATTTTCTCTTCTTTCAGGAACTGTTCTTCTCTTTCCCTTCCCAAAGAGGTCCAGTTTCCTTATCCCGAAGTTTCCCCTTTAGTCCACTGGCCTCCCTCTGGCCTCACACCGGCCTCCAAATCTGGCCCATACATCAGAGTTAATCCAAAGAAACACCTTTAATCCCGAGATGGTGGGATCAAGGTCAAAGAAAATTTAAGTGCCTGAAACTAGGATGCTACCTCCCTCCGTCCCCTCAAACCCAGAGGCAGCATCTTGGTGCCAATCTGGGTTTTCAGACAAACTTGCCTCGGCAAATCCGTGGCACCAGTGGGTTCTGGGGAGCAGCCTTCAACTGCAACTGTGCATCTCAACCCCGTGAGAATGGGGAAGCCGGAGAAGAAGCTATCCGCGACTTGAGGATCTGCTTGGGAGAGGGCACAGTCTCTTGCTCTTCCCAGTCAAGCAGGAATCAATAGCGATCTGCTACAAACTTCCCCGCAGCCGATCAGCGCGCTCCAGCCGGGCGGCAGACATCCCCATGCCGCTCGCTCGCCTCGGCCCCGCACTTTGGCCGCCTCCTCGGGAACCCAGGACCCCAGCCTCGGGCCTCGCCCCCTCCCTATTTTAACTACGTGATTGATTTTCGGTTGGGCCGCTTCAGGACGCCACTGCCTCCGACTCTTTAAATCTTTGGGCTCCCTTTTTGTATTTCCAAGTCCTCCCGACCGGGTGCAATTCAGAGACTGCCCGCCCCTGGGGCGAACGGCGGGCTCGCACGGTGCGGCCTGGGTCGGGGTCCCCGCGGCGGCCTCGCCCTGCAGCCCTACCCTCCACGAAGTGGCCTGGCCACGCTGTTGGGTGCGGCCAGGTCTGCAGCCGCCCCACGGCGCGCTACTCTGATAACTGTAGTCTTACCCATTCGCCTTTCTGAATTATTTTGTGCCCCATTATGTTCTGATATTAAAAAAATAATAGTAATGCTCCCGGTTTGGGTTATCACTTCGTGCCTGGCCTCAGAGCTGGGCTGTCTGCATTTTTGTCGTCACTCGAATAAAATGTGTACCATACAGTCTGCGTTAAGATCTACAGAGGCAAGGATGCCTGACTCCAATCCCTAAAGGAACTCGGGTTCCTTTCCCTAAACACCTGAGCTTCACCCTGGCGGGTGATAAACGCCAGGAGAAGCAAATTCGGCCACAACTTCAGGTTACTAAGCGCCAGTGGGACCGCAGAGCTGGCGATCCTGGTCGCCGTCCTTAACCGGCACTGCGCGGCTGGATTTGATTTCCACTTCATGGCCCCAGACAGAGGCCCCCTCACCCTGGCTGCCCCATCGGGCACAGGGCGGCAGCCTCCAGGGGTACAGGAACCAGCGGTTCAGCCCCCTCCACCGAGGGGACTGAAGGTGAGGCAAGGAAGGGGAAGGGGGGATTTAAATTTAGAGAAGAGTAGATTTAGGGTGGGGAGAGGAAGGGGAAGACAAGAATATAGAACAGGAGCCCTTTCTGCCCCAGAAGCTGACCTCTTTCCCTTTCTCTCATCCAGGAGAAACTCTTTGCCCCTACCAAACTGCTTCTTTTCCCCTTACTGTTTCATTTAGGTACAACTAATAAACACTTCTCTGCTTATTTTACCATGTCCTGTTCATTCTTTGATCCTTTCTCATGAGGTAACAACAATGAGCTGCCAGTAGCAGTTTTTAATGTATGTGCGTATGTATGTGATATATATGTTCATGTGTATATATTTTTATACATTATTTATATACATATAAATATATTTATTCTCCCCTAGGGGAGAGGGGGTGTTTGGAATGTCTTTCTCACTGCAGAAGTTCAATAAGGCTCAAGTTGGCGGCAACCTTTCCCAGTCCCCTTACAACACCCAAATTCCTGCCCCCCAATCCCTTCCCCCACATCAATGTTGCTGGGTAAATAAGAGTCCGCCTGCCTGGCTATTAGGATTCTGGAGACGTTGGCATCTGTAGCAATCATTAGTCAAAGCCGCAGAAGCCAAAGGAGCCGAGGAGTTGGACAGAAAAAATCTTGGAAATGATATACAGGAGCCACGGAGGCATCAATCCCCACCGATAAGAGCACGACTGCTGGGGGCCCGCTTAGTTGGGCTTGAGACACCAGGAACAACTGGAGAGGGGGCACCTAGGGTTTGTACAATGACCCTGGCATCATTTGGGTACCCTACAAAAATAGGTGGGACTTACCCTTTCCTCCAAATTTCAAAAACCCTGTTAGGGTGGCGGGGTGAGGGAAGGAGATCTATATGCCCCTCACCCTGGGACCCATTAGGAACTGCACTGAAGGGCTCTCCACTGTCCTCTTTGCCCCTTCTCTTTAGTGGCTGCCTTTGCAGGTTCTGCAAGCTGGGGAACATGGCTTGGGACCTCCAACTACAGAGACAGCCTGGAAAGAGGCAGTTATCTCTAGAGTGGGTTTCATGGGGGCAGATAACAGTTGGACTAGAATTGGAGTTAGCCTTGATGATAGTGATAGAATCACTTATTTTAATAGGCAAAACATCCAAAATATATTCATTCCCCACCCCCACTCACCTGACATCTTTATAGATCAAGAGAGACAGAGACAGAAATGCAGTAAGTGTAAGTTCTTCTAGAGAGAGATCTACACCTACACCCAGATATGTGCATTATGGAACTATCTCTAAACATATATTCAAACATTTTAAGTTTGCAGAAAAACTGCAATAACTATAAAGTTTCCCAAATATGTAGCTTCAATATATAGCTATTTTATGGGCTAGGACCCTTGAATAAATCTAGATAAAATTTCAAAATAAAGATTGAACAACACATACATAGTTCTTTCCAACTTAGAAAAAAACCACCAAATATTCATTTAGATGTTTAGAGAGAGCTATACCAATACATCCCATCATATAAACCAACCTTTATAGGAAGAGTTGTAATGTTCAAAGAGGAATCCAACAGAGGACTATGTTCCACTATGGATGTATGCATCTAAAGATGCATAGGTCTGCATTTAAATGTGGAGCAGAAAGGGATGTGAAGCATACATCCTGATACACACATAGAACAATTTGTAAGTGGCATTTTCATGTATACAATTATAGGAGTGCTCAGATCTCTACAGAGATGCATGTATTTGCTGGTGTACTAGGAACTGGGAGGATTCCCTGGTGTTTGTGGGTTTAGGGTGTCCCAGCCCAGATTTCTCTGG